TAGGAGCCACACATTTTCAACCACAAACTTTACCAATATTTATTAAAATTTACTGAATGATATTTTTGCACCCTGTACTTAGGGTATTAAAATTTCTTTTTGAACTGGAATAATATGTAAATATTTAACTATTTATACACGGTATTGAGTCAATTCCACTCTTGTTTTTTTTAATAGTTTATATTCATGTTTCACGTTCTGGTCAAATTAAAATTTTACTCGACAATCACTAATACTAAAATCTAAAAAGAGAAAATCAAGAGCAGCGTTGTTGTCTTTTATAAACGAAACACAGAAAATCTAGAGCTACCTCGCCTACCAATTGACCAATAAGTGTACTTTTGTTTGTGGATTTGAAACACAAATTCAACTCTTCAATCTAAACGTGTTTGCATTTCAACTTTTCATGCTTTCACACTTCATGAACACTAAGTCCACTAATTAACAATTATTTCGATATTTTCTTAAGAAAAACTGCAGAATTATTAGACTTTTACATTTTGGATATGTCATAGTTTCACTATAGAAGAAATTTGACTCACCAATTATGTAGAAATAAGAAATAATTTTTTCACGATATTATTTTCGATCTATAAAATGTAAAATTTTCGCTTTAATATAATTCTTTCACCAAACAAGCATCAACATCTCTAGTTTGGCCTTCCAAAACATCGTCTAATTTTATTAGCATGACAATATTAGTTGGTCATTTCCAATGGCATTAGCTCGGGGACTAGATTCATACTATTTTGACTAGATTCACCTCTTACTCAAGGAGTCGTACGTAACTCGCGGGACAACATCTACATGAGTTTGGCCATCTTCAAACTCATCTGCCATCTATTATGGCATTCGATTTATAACTATAATATTTAACTTGGTAAATGAAGAGCTAGCAATTTTAGGAAGACGAGAGGGAAATCTTTGTGATATCCTTTTCAGTAGAGGAAGAGGATATGCAATAACAAACAGACTTACGTAATTCTTGTTGACCTCAAGAAATGTGCTAACAAAATCCTGGCCACCTTCCTTTAGGAGGCAAAGACCGTCGATCGAGAAAAATGTCCGATGACTGTTTGTACTCGATGATCAAATCAACGGCGGGACAATAGATGATATGAGTGCAAGAGAGTGAGAGATGATTTGGCTAAAGTTAGAAAATATACATTGATTGTGAATGAACTCACATATATACATGAGGCGATGGGCAAAGTGAGCTAATGGGCCAAACCCAAGCCTAGGGCCAAAAATAGATGACTTGATTAAATAGGTTCATTCCAATTGAACACTTGATGTCAAGTCAGCCAATCTGAGATCATCTCCATCACGCACATGTCACGTAATTTATAGGTATAATAATAGTCCTCCAAGTCTAGATCGCATATTTAAATGCGAGTTGGACTTAAAATATAAACTGCCAAATATGTGAGGTCTTACACTTTGCCTCGAAAATATGAGCAGCTCCAATAAGTTAGGGTTTACGAACTCGAAAATATGCATAGATCCCAAATAGGTAAGGGCTTACGAATTATCTCAAAAACATAAGCTGCTTCAATATATGAGGACTTAGTAACTGTCTCGAAAATATCTGTGCAAGCCTGAATAGGCGAGAGCTTACAGATTGTCTCAAAAGATGTCGCGTATAATTTATCAAAATTTCAACAACGTCTCATCTCTAATATGGACTAAACCAACTTATAATATAATATAATATAATATCTCCATTGCACATATACAAAGTAAATTTGGATTCATTTGGCCTTTCAAATACTAATATGATAGCAAGAATAATGTTAAGCCCCCGTTTGGTTCCCATTATTTGATATTATAATTTTTGAAATAATATATTTTTTTTAATGTGGTTAAAAAAGAAGGAAATATTTTGAATTTACGTATAATATTATTTTATTAGAGAATGTGTGATTTATAAGAGAGATAGAAAAATTAATTATAATCTTAATGGAGGCCAAACGAGAGCTAAACCCTAGTTTGGTTTGGATTAAAATCTCAAGTTAAAGTCAACAATTAATTTTAACAATATATTTTATGAAACCCACAACTTTTTAACCACATATTTCATCAACTTTTATAAAAAACTACTAAAAATCTAATTTTAATCACAATCAAACAGGGGCTAAAGTAAACTTCTCTAAGATAGAATATGTAGAGAGCCTATAATGTTCATAGTTGATGATGTGTTGTCGATAATAATATGAAAATATAGATAACGTTGCATATGTGCTGACTGTAATGAAAATAGTTTCATAACATGCTAGTAATGATGTAGCATGCGTAATGACAGTGATAAAATAATGCTTGTGATTGTAATAATAATGTAATAATACTAAGATACTGGTATCACAATAGTCCTCCAAATTCGGTATGAATATTCATTTAATGCTTGGACTTTTGGATAAGGGCGATGCTCTGAAGATAAGTAGTTGCGATTAAGCTGATGTAGAGATCAGATTCTGGATATAGGCAACTGTGATAAAAACTGAATATATAAGTAGTTGTACTGATACTGATTTAGAAGTGAGATTCTGAACTAAATATGAATAGCTGTACTGATATTCCAAAAATTGCATGCCATAAATTAATTGTGCAATATGACAACTGAAATTAGGGATTTTAATTGAGGGCGAGTCACGCAACGACTTGGCTCGTTTCATATACGATTCAAGCCGAAAAAAATTCTCGTGAGAGTCACTCGTCGTCTCGCATGAATTGGCTTGCAAGTCGACCAAGCTAACTCGTGATAGCCATTGTGGTATGCATGATTGCTTTTTAAAAGGAATGTTTGATTCCCATTTTTTTTTTTTCAAAATACATTTCCCTCTCTTCTTTTCATCGCACATTTTACATTAAGTTTGATAATGCCACATGAATTTAAATTTAAAATCTTGAAATTCTTAATTTTTTTGGCATTGAATTTGACCATGTAAATAGGGACATCATACTTTTAGAATTTTCTACAACTTTATCTCAAGCGAGGAAAAATTTCTCAACTTTATATATCTTTTGGAAAATACATATTGATTGCCTCTATTATGTTGTTGCTCTAGAGGCAATCAATATTTATTTTTCAAAAGATATATAAAGTTGAGAAATTTTTCCTCGTCGCTTGAGATAAAGTTGTAGAAAATTCTAAAAGTATGAATATTGACAAGGGTGAAAATATCAAATGCAACTTTTTTACTAGAAAAAAAAAATGAGAAAAGTAGTCAGCAACTAGCATTAGTTGGGGGTTTTTGTAAACGAGGCAATTGACTTGCATGATGAACCGAAATCTAGCCCTTCGGTGGGTGAGCCAAGCGGTTCAACTCCGCCCACCCCTATAGGTTAAATACGCGTCGAATTCAGACAATATGCTTGATTAGGAATAGCAACGATGTTGGTCGAAGTCGGGACAACCTCTCCCGCCCCCCATCCCGCCGGGTAATTTCCCACTTCGTACTCGCCCCGATTACCCATTTAAGGAGAGGCGGCTGGGCAAACCCGTTTAATTTTTTATTTTTTTTTATTTTTGATAATTTATTTTATTATCCCATTCGTTAAAGTGACGCAATAATATATTTTTTAATTTATTTTTAAAAGTTAAATTATTCAAATATATTTGGTATCATATTTCTTAGATAATCTTAGTTGCCATCTTCTATTAGAACTAATCAAATTTCGTCGAGTTTTCATTTAAAGTATTAAATTCTTAAAAAAATTAAATATTAAATGGGGTAGGACCCTTGTTAATCGTACCCGCCCGATCTCCAAACCGAATACCCGACTAAGCGAGTAATCCATGTTCCTTTCGGGACGAGACCTCACAAGTATCGGATTTGATGAATTGTTTTGTCATCCCTATACTAGATTGAGGCGGGATAGATATACATGCAAACTAATATGAATAAAGCCATTGCCATGCTTGAAAATTGAAAAATGTTAGGTGAGTAACGTCGCTGTCTATTTCTCTTCCTATACAAGGAAAACAAAACAAAATTGAAATTCACGAGTCGACCCTATATATTACAACTTCTCGAAGAAGACACCATCGCGTTCAACCAAAAGATACAAAACACAGTTCAAACTTTTTATAGTACAAAAGCCCAAAATAAATGATGTAACACATTTTCTTTTAAGTTTTAAATGCAAGTAAATTTTACTTTAAAAAATTAAAATTTTAATAGATTTTGATAAAAATTGATGAAATATGTGACTGAAAAGTTGATAAAAGTTATAGTATTGTTAAAAATGAATTTGAGTAAAAATAAATTTTGTAAATGAATTTCAAACGGGGGCTTAATTTTTTGTAACATTCTTGGATAAGTAAATTTGATACTTATACGTAAAAATGATTATTTATTTTGATTAATGAAATAAACTATTCAATTTAAAACTCAAAGTGTATTTGATTGACTTTATTTTTCATGAAATTTTTTATTCAAATTCCTACTTTTGGGATGGTTGATCAACAATTTTTTTACGGAAAATATTTTTCAAATTTTGGTCATGTGACCATATTCTCCTCAAAAATAAGAAAAACATTTTCTTTAGGTACCGACGGTTTTTATGTAATTCAATTTCTCTTAATCTCTCTTATCTATCATCTCTCATCTACCCACTAATAAAAAATGGACAAGTATAATATTTTACAGATTGAAAATTAAATCAATCAAATATATTTAATTAATAATTTTCATAAAAATAAGTTTTAAGCAAATTGCCTAGAATTTTTTTTTTCATACAAAATTTAAATGCACCATTATTTATCATAAGTAAATTTTTTAATCTCACGCAAACATCAGCCCGCATTTAGAAGAATCTACTAGTTGGTGGTTTGAAACTTTGAAAGAGTATTAAAGTGGGCTTAGTGGTGTTTCTAGAGACCATCCAATCCAATCCAATCCAATCTAATCCTCCTCTATCCTTCTATAATATCCCTCAACGAGAATTTTCCAAATCTCCACATTCCAAAGGAGTTATGGTCTTCTTGTCTGTAGAAGAAGATGAAAAAACTAATGGAAGTTGCTGAAATTCCTAAACACGATCTCGTTGATTCTCGCGTTTTCCTGTCTGGTTTCTATTGCTGGGATTGGGAATTCCTCACTGCTCTCTTGCTCTTCAGTTGTTCATTTTAATTGTTACCAGATCCTACAAATTTATATAGGAATTGAATCAAATTTAAATTGAAGGTTTTTTTTTTTTTTTTGTTGAATAGTTTTGGGGTGTTGAGCAGAGTAGTTATGTCGCAGAGAAGTGTTCCGGCGCCGTTTTTGACGAAGACGTATCATTTGGTGGACGATCGGAGCAGCGATGACGTGATTTCTTGGAATGAAAGTGGTACGACGTTCGTGGTCTGGAAAACTGCCGAATTTGCGAAGGATTTGCTGCCTAATTACTTCAAACACAACAATTTCTCCAGCTTCGTTCGCCAGCTTAATACTTATGTACGTCTCTTTTTCCCTTAATCAATCTTCGTGTTCATATGCATGATTAGTTAACTCAATTTTTTGCTGAGATTTCTGAATTTCAATCCAGTTCATGCTTATTGTTCCAACTGTTGTTTAATAATGAATCTTCCTAATGTCAAGTTTGTTTGAAAGGAACCTTAACCTTGCTAACCATAATATTTATCAAATCTAATACTAAATTATTAATCTTATGTTAGGTTTGAAACTTTGTTCAAAAGCTGGACAAAATAAATAGCGTATAATATTATTACTTCTACCAGAGGAATTTAAGTGACGTATGATGTAGATTTTTTAGAATAGATTTTAAATTTTGTCAAAGTTGTTGTGGTTGAGAAATTATATAGGCCCTGTTCGGGAGGGTTTAAAATCCAATTAAAATTGAAAATATGGTCGTTATTGGGTCCCACCCGTCTAATAAAAGTCAACAATAACGGCTATATTTTCAATTTTAATCTGATTTTAATCCCTCCCAAACAAGCTCATATTTATATGCAAAATTATTTTATTTGAAGAATGTGTTCTTAAAAATGAGTTTGGAGGAGGAAATGATTTGTAAAGAGGCAATGCCAAACATGGCTTAGTTCATGCCCCTGTTTAGCTTCCAATGTTATAATTTTTTGAATAGTGTTTTTTTTTTTTTTTT